TTTCACAGGGATGGAAAAAAAAAAACTATGTTTTGAGAAAAAGAAGGCAGAGCTGGAGTCATCTGATTTTAAGTTTCTAGAAAGGGACACTGGTGCGTGTGAGGACTGTTTGTGCAAAGGCTTGGTCAGAGATCGCCTGCTTGTGTCCATCCCTAGGATAGGGCAGACAGGAGTCAAACAGGCTTGGACTGGAAACCACTCTGCCACTGTGAGGGTCAGAGTGAGCTACAGTCCTTATTCTTCAGTTTCTATATCTGCAAATAAAAGCAATAATCTTTGAGGTGTGTGTAAATGTGCATGTGTGATGTGTGTGTGTGTGTGTGTGTGTGTATGTGTGTGTGTGAAAGAGGGGGAGACAGGGAGAGGAAGACGAAGAAGAATGAGACAATTTGTCAACAGCAGGCTTCATCACCTTTGAAACCAAGAGCATTGGGGTCAGATAATTCCTTGCTACAGGTGCCTGCCCTGTGCTTTGGGGAAAGTTGAGCAGTGTCCCTGACTTGTCCACTCAATGCCTACCTCAGTTCCCAATTCCCTTCTTTCCTAGTCCTGACAATTCAAAATGCCCCGGATGTATTTGCCAAATGTCCTCTGGTGGACAAAACCACCGCCTCTACCAAACATCTAACTTTAAGAATTGATATAGAATGCAATAAGTTCTTTAGAAAGATTAGCTGTTACTGTCATCATCACCCCCACCCTGACCCCCATCATCACCTTTGGTACTGCTTTCAGAAGCAGCAATTTTGTGTTCACAAAAACCTTTGTTCTTTTTGTTGGACTTCATAAAAATGTGGAAAAAAAAGGGGGGGGAGAGAAAGAATGACCTGGAAAGTGTAATCAGCTCCCAAACCTTTTCTCTGAACACGGTGATTTTCCCCCCTTCTTTTGTAAGGGTAGGAGAGTGACCTATATGTAACCTCTTGGATGCCTCCCAATATTTCCCAAATTTTACCGGCTCCTGCAGCTGCTTGAGTAAAGAGAATGTTGTCAGTGTCCCGAGCTTGCTGTGTGAGGAAGGGGGAAAGATAGCCTGGTTAAATCACTGGCGTGCTATTATACAAGTTTCGCTCTGGTGAGCCAAGCCGTCCTCGGATGTAATTTCCGCGTATTTCTTCACCTCTCACCTTCCTCCACAGTTATTACTTAACCCACTGACCCAGATAGCTGCTTATTAACATTTAATACATGTCGAATTGTTAGTGGGCTTTGAACAAAACATGAAGAACTTTCTGATTTGCTTTCAGCTCACTGCCCTTGAACCATTACATGGGTACATCTGTAAAGCTCGGCCCCGTTGTGGCTCTAACCAGGGCATAGATTATGAAGAAGAATCAGGCCCTCCCCCACTCGTGTAAGCTTTCACTCATTTAACAGATAGCGATGAGCTCTGATGAACTCCTATTGTAATGGCCACATTACAGAAAGGAGGTCACAGTGCAGAATCACAGCACAGAACAGAATTTATTCTCCTGTTGCTGGGAGTGGGGGAGGGCAGGAGATTAGGAGACCAAATGAGTCAAAGGTATATCCATTCAAACAGGCCCCCGGAGCCCCTAACCCTGTCTTCAGGGCTCAGCAATATTTTTTGTGCTGGTTGGTTATGGGGTCAACTTGGCACAAACCTAGACATATCTAGGAAGAAGAAATTTCAGTTGAAGAATTGCCTCCATCAGATTGGCCTGTAGGCAAGTCTGTGGGGGCATTTTCTTGATTGATGACTAATGTGGGAAGGCTCAGCTCATCGTGGGTTGGTGCCACCACTAGACTTGTAGTTCTGGGTAGTGTAAGAAAGCAAGCTGAGACAGTCCTGGTGAGACCTGAGAGGCTAGGGTCAGATGGAAGTGGGGGAGGACCTTCCCTATCAGTGGACTTGGGGAGGAGCATGGGAGGAGAAGAGGGAGGGAGAGTGAGATTGGGAAGAGATGAGGGAGAGGGCTACAGCTGAGATACAAAGTTAATAAATTGTAATAAATAAAAAATTAAATTAAAAAATCAATTACGTTTAATTTGATAAATATTTGGATTTTAAAAAAAGAAAAGAAAAGAAATCTGAACAAGCCATAGCAAAGTGTTCTTTTATAAAGGTATCTGGTTGGTTCCTGCCTCTGAGTTCTGCCTTGATTTCCTGTCCTGACTTTGCCTAAAGATAGACTGTAACTTTTGAGGTAAAACGAACTTTTTCCTTCCCAAGTTGCTTCTGATCATAGTTTTATCACAGCCATGGAAACCCTGATTGAGGCTAACCCTAACCCGGCATTTGAAAGGTGGGTGGGTGAGGCACACGGGCAAACCTAGCACGTGAGAAGCTGAGGCAGGAGGGTGGAGAGCCGTGGTCTAGCCTGGCGGTTTACATAGTAAATCTGAGGCGAGGGGCACGCTGGACATGGACTTTTCCACTCCGCAGCTTCATCCTCTCAGCCAAAGAGGAGCAACGATGGTTTGGTGCACGTTCTTTGGATGATCATGTAGCATTCTTCAAAGGTGGCTAAGTCATCCACACATCTCTAGCACTCAGCTTACAATCTGACCTCCTTTAAATCACCCTACACGTGCTCATGCGTGAGCTGTTTTGGCCTCTAAGGACACATTTTTCCATAACCAGTGGTTCTCAGCCTTTCTAGTGCCGGGACCCTTACACACAATTTCTTACGTAGAGGTGCTCCCTACTCTTAACATTACTTCGTTGTCACTTCATAGCTGTACATTTGCTACTGTGGTGGATCATAATGTAAACATCTGCTATGAGAGCCCTGTGGGGTTTGCGACCCACGGGTTGGAAAACATCGACATAGACAAACGTGTCATTCTTATTGACCAGGCACAGACAATCTCTAAACATATTAATAAAGTGACTCTTGAAAGGATGGATGAAGGCGTGATGGCAATATGGAGGAAATTGCTCACAATTTCCAAGCTACATTAAAACAAAACAAAACAAAACAAAACAGTCTAGCCAGGCGTTTTGGTGCACTCCTTTAATCCCAGCACTGGGGGGGGGGGGGGGGGGGGAGGAGGCAGAGGCAGGTGGATCTCTGTGAGTTCAAGGGCAGCCCGGTCTACAAAAATGAGTCCAGGACAGCCAAGGCTACAAAGAAAAATCCTGTTTGGAAAAACAAACAAACAAACAAACAAACACTAAACAAAACCTGGTTACCTGAGGCGGGTATTTTCAGAAGGGAAAGATTGGTATAAGGAGCCAGTGTGCCCAGTTACAAAGCTTCTCAGTGTGCAGACAAAAGAACACCCTAGTCGCTGTCCCTGAGCTGGGCCGGCTCTTGCTGGCTGGTGTAATTTACCTCCCAGTCACCCAGTGCTCTCCAAGTGCTCTGTGCCGGGCTCCAAGCTGTCTGGGAGAAAGGCTGGCTGGCTCCATGACCCCGGGGCTGCAGTCTGTGACTCGGACTAAGTTTTTGTGTTAAAAGCAAACATTAACTTATTTTTTGGTGTTGTTGGTCTCTTTCGGGTGCTTCCAGACCCTCCTAGATCACCTCCTAGCATTATCTGTCAACCTTTTACTGCTTTTCATAACAATGCCCTCAGAGGACAATTGGAGTGGACACAAGGCTGGATTTATGGTCAGAAACTTGCGTTTAAATGTCTGTCTGCGCAGCTGTTTATTAAAATAGATAGACTTTGGCCAAACCACTTACCCTCACTGAGCCACAATTAGTTTTCATAGCTATTAAATGGAGTTAGGAAAAGATGTATGTGCCATGGACTGGGTACTTAGTGCATGACAGACACAGCCAGCTCTCTGTACTCTGTATGAATTATTTACTCATGTGATTGCCATCATAGCCTTGGGAGCTGGTTAATATCCTGTTCTCACCCCATTTTACAGAGGAGAAAACTGATGGGTTTAATAAGAGGTTAAATAAGGTCCCAATGTTATGTTGATATAAGAGCAAAGAAATGAAAGCCAGTGATCCAGGCATGATGAGGGTTGGACTGAGGAAGGTGCAGTTTCCCCGGCTCTATCTCTTTTAAAAAATCACTTTCTTTCTTTTTTTTTTTTAAAGATTTATTATTTTTTTTAAATTTATCCAGCATTCTGCCTGCATGTGTGCCTGTGTACCAAATCTCACTATAGATGGTTGTAAGCCACCATGTGGTTGCTGGGAATTGAACTCAGGACCTTTGGAAGAACAGCCAGTGTTCTTAACCTCTCAGCCATCTCTCCAGCCCTAAAAATCACTTTCTTATAACAAACTCACAAATAAAAACAACACCCAGCTAGCCACTCAAACCCATACCCAGCCTCAAACGCTGTGAGTCTCAGCAAACTTCTGTGCCGTTAGGATGGCCATTCAGAAGCCTCATAGCTTTCCTAGGGTTTTACACTTCACCAGCAATTACATTTCTACAGAGCTAGACAACAGAGAGAGAAGGAAAAGAAAAAAAAAAGAACTACCATATGAATCCAGCTATTTTACTCCTAGGCAGATATACCCCGAGAACTCCGTATCTGATCTTAGAGATATTTGCACATCCGTGTTTATCGCTGCTCTATATTTATGACAGCAAGGAAGGAATCAGCCTAGATGTCTATCAACAGATGAATGAAGAGTGAAAATGTGGTTGGTGCTTACCCAAAATGGGATGTTACTCAGCTGTAAAGAAAAATAAAAATCTGCAGGAAAATGGATAGATTTATAATGTGCAGTTACTCAGAAACTCAGAAGAAGGAAAAAGCATATAGGTGGATCTTCCGCTATAACGTATACATGTTTAGATATAAACAAGCCAAAAACATGGCTATAGTATAACATTTAGAAAAGGGACCAAGAAAGGGTAATGTTAGATGATAAGCAAGCACACAACACAAGCAGATATGAGTCATGACAGAAGACGTAAAATTAATTGTTTTTCTATTTTCAACTCTGTCGTCATTTTTTCTTTTCTTTTTTCTAAGCAGACAAAGGCTTATTTTATTTTAATGACTGGTCCATGTGATCTATTACTGAGGCCACTAAGTACCGACAGGAGAGAGATACTTTAAAAATATGGAAAACGATAAATTTGCATGCCATGCTTGCTCAGGGACCAGGCTAATTTTTTTTGTGTTGTTTCAACTGTAGTATATATGTTGCTGAAGTAAACAGTTAGTTTTCTCCCTTTCTCCTATCCTCTTTTCCTTCCTCCCTCCCTCTCTCCTTCCTTCCTTTCTTCCATTCTGTATGGGTAAGCTCCACAGCTCCTCTTAAGATAGTTGGCTAGTACAAAGTTGGCCAACACTTCTTTTGAACTATTTTTCCCTAAACAAAGACTAATAACATTTTAGCACTGGATGTAAGTGCAGAGAGTATCAGGGCAAAGTTCTCAACTTTAGACATGATGATTACACAGGGGTATAATACAGAGTATACTCCCAGAGCATACAGGGGGTCTTGAGTGCCAAGCATAGACAGAGTGTCCCCCAAGGCCACCCCACACACAGCTTCAACAACCACTTGGCCAGTCTTGCTTCATCCATGTCCCTCCCATTCTCCACCTCCATCTCCTGTCTCCCTCCCAATGGAATATTTTGAAGTGATGCTCAGGCACCAGAACACTTTCTCATAAACACAGCATACATTTTTAAACGGTAAGGTCTCTGATTTTAATATTAGCACCATGTTATTATCACACCAGGTGAGCTAATCTTGATTTTTCAATTTGACAGGATTTGAAATCACCTAGGAGACAAATCCCCAGGCAGGTGCATCAGGGTGTTTCTGGGGAGAGTTCCCTGATGAGGGCCGGGGTCCTGGACTATTCAAAAGAAAGCAAACCAGACACCAGCCTCTATCTCTCTCTTTCTCTCTCTCTCTCTGCTTCCTGACTGATGACACAGTGTGGCCAACCTCCTCAAGACCTTCTACCTTGACTGTGATGGACCACACCTTCACACTGTGAGCCAACACCTACCCTTTCTCTTCTTCCTTGTGCTGATTTTGTCCACAATAACAATATTGGAGGCTGGAGAGGTGGCTCAGGGGTTAAGAGCACTTGCCGTTCTCTGAGAGGACATGGATTTGATTTCCAGTCCACTTAGGGGGTCATAGGCATTTGCAACTTCATTTGGGAGGGGGAGGGACACGCTGCCTTGACTGCTTTGGTCATCATGCACACATGAGATGTATAGACACACATGTAGGCCAAACACTCATAAAATAAAATAAACAAAATAACTAAGAAGAGCTGGAGGTGTGGTAGCACATGCCTTTAACCTCAGCACTGGGAGGCAGAGGCAGGTGGATCTCTGTGTTTGAGGAGAGCCTGGTCTATATAGCAAGTTCCAGGATAGTCATAACTACACAGTGAGACCTTTTCTCCAAACAAACAAACAAAACTCCCTTTGCTTAAAATCATCAAATATGCTTTCAAGGTTCAAATTGTTTCATTTGTCACAGATTTTAAAGAACAGTTGTTTTGTAGTACAGGAAACTTTTTATCTTCCAGCATACACTATTGTGAAAGATGTAGTCATGACGCTTTAAAGCGGTTCTGCCCTTTGGCTCTAAGCAGCTACATGAAGCTGGGAAGTTAGCGGACGCTGGATAAAACCATGGTGCACCATGGTGAAGAGCTGGGCAGCCCACAGCTCTCTTTAGGCTGCTTAGGCTGTTCAGGGTCCCAAGCCTGCTCTGCCACTTCCTAACCAGGCGACCTGTGAATGAGTGTCTTCCTTTCCTTGTTGAGCGTGGGGCTGGGAATGGACCCGCCTGGAAGGGCTGTTGGAAGGAGAGCACTCATAGTGCAGGTGGTTGGACCAGCACATGGAGCTTTGTAATTACTCAGGAAGCATCAGCAGGGTCATATCCTGACGTGGTCATGACGTGTTAGTAAGGCCTGCAGGTGACTGTAATAGAAGGTGGGTCTCTGGTGAGTATGCCACAAAGAACACCACATAACCATTGTTTTGTGTTATTATTATAATGATGATTTGGAACAGGACTTGCCTTTTGTTGCTCTTTTATTTTTATTTTTTTTTGGAAAAAGAGTCTTTCTATGAAGGCTGGCTTTGAACATCCGACAGTTCTGCTGACATTGTAGCAGTAAAGGCCCGTTAACAGAAAACTGCTTCCTTCTAGTCCAGACAGGCCTGGGTGGAGACCCCTACATTTCAGTTGGCCAGGTCCTGCTTAAAGGACCATCCCTCAGGAAAGCAGGAACCATCTTAGGCCAAGCTAAAGAAGAATCATTAGCCTGTCAAATGAGAGGGTGTTTTTTTTTTCCTTCCCAGAATTCCCATGGAGCCACAGCCAAGGTGCAACGTAACTGTGAGGCGATCTTTTATTTTGCTCTCTCTTTTTTCTGAACATGCTTTCCCTATCACCTTGGATTTCACTTTTTCTCCAAAGCTCCTCTCCCTACATTGCGTATGCTTTTCTGCCGTGTGATTAGCTAGCTTCCTCTCCTGCTTAACTCAAACAGCTGCTCTTTTCTCCTTTCTCCTTTTCCTCTTCTGGGTCACTGCAGAGATTACAGTTTGCTTACTCTGAGTGTTTTTTTTTTCCCCCTTCTAAGCTCGAGTAAGATTGTCCTTGACCTTTCTCTTGAGTTCAACCTTAAATTCTTTTATTAATAAGAATAAGAACCCAAGAGGGAACCCTGATTTCCCCAGTGACACTGTTTCAGTGTTGGGATTACAGCTGTTCTATGCAGGGCTCTGCTAGGAATTTCCCTTTCTGTTTTCTTTTGGAGTTTTATGTCTCCCCAGATGGCCTTGAACCTGTTAGCAGAGAATGACCTTGAACTTCTGACTCTCCTTTTCTGTTGGCTGTGTCTCCAGTGCTTAGGACTGCAGGTCTGCGCCTACACACCCACGGTCCGTGCCAGGTTTATGCCACGATGGGCGTCAAACCAAGCGTTTAGCACACGGCAGCCAAGCACTATGCCGGCTAAGATAAAGTTTCCTTTATCAAAAATTTTCAATCATGACTGTTTGTGAATGATATACGGTGGTGGCATGGAGGTCAGAGGACGACTTTATGGAGTTGGTTTTCTCTTCCCACCTTTACACAAGTTCCAAGGATCAAACTCAGGTTGCCAGGTTTTGGGGGCAAATGCCTTTGGCTGCTGAGCGAAGCCCCAGGTTTTGAAATTGCTTTTCTTGTCCAAGCCAGCACTACTGCTGGCTTCTGCAGAGGTTGGAGGGAGCTCTGGGGCACTTTCCCTCCTCAGCTTCCTCCTTGAGGCAGAGGTCAGAAGCATTCAGACAGTTTAGTGATAGTTCTGGAGGTTTTTATGCCCACAGGGTCTCAAACCTCCAGAAAGGAGCCAATGATCAACACACAGGGAGCTACAGGTTGTATCCGCCAGTAATGCCAATATTCCAGAGGCTGAGGCAGGGGTATCTTGAGTTGCAAACCAGCCTGGGCTGCAAAGCGAGTTCAACATTATGAAGTAAGATCCTGTCTCAAGATAGAAGAGACTAGATAAACAGTCCTCCTCGCAAGGGGTATCAGCAGAGGCATCTCTGTTGCTGGGGACAGTGGGAAGTCCCCCAAAGTGTCCCAGGATGGATGATAAATCAACAACCCACCCCATCCATCCCCAGGGCAGAGCATCGGGCCTGTTTTTGAAGAGCACAGAGTTTATTCATCTTTCCCCCATTTATCTCTATTCTCTGGCCTCCCTTCCCTGGGGCCATAAATAACCCCATCCCCAGTCACATTAACCTCCAAAGCCTGGGGACAGGCCACGGGGCTGAGCCTGTGCATTTGCTGTAGCATGCAATCTTTTCCTTGTTAAAAATAGCGTCTGTCTGTTAAGAGTGAGAGGTAGACCCTAAGGTGAGTTGTTCACCTACAAGGCTTCGGAACTGCTCAAAGTTTGCAGACAACTGTGCCTTCCTGTCTCTTACCAATCAGAAGACCTGGGTGTAGACTTAAGGTGTTTCTAATTCATGGAGAAACAGCATGACTTCTTTATTGGCTGAGAAGGAAAATGCAAAATGATGACACTTATTGTGCAATCAACATAGATTTAGATTGCATATGCTTACGATGAGGATGACAATGGATTTCTTGGGAACAAAGCAAATTCTGATTAAAAAGTTAAAACTCAAAGAAAATGCGCTAAGATGCATTGTCAATAATTCAGTTTTGTAAACACGCGGTATCTGTTAGGTGCACAGATTTTGTTTGAGCAAAGCTTCTTGTGAGACCCACAGTTGAATTACAATGAAACTTCCTCAAAGAATTATTACTTTTGTAGAGAGACTATGACAAAGTTACATATAATTGTCATGCAAGCCAAAGACAAATGTATGACTTAAGAGGCATCCCAACTGTGTTCTGAGGAGATTTATGAACTCTCAAAGTCTCTCCTCTTTGCAGGAGGTGACATGGATTTAGATAAGAGGCCCTATTGTTATTTATTTACTTTTCTCCAGTGCTGGGGATCAAATCCAGGGCACTGCACGTAGCAGGCAAGAGCTCTACCATGAAAATAAATCCCCAGCCTTGCTTTTGCCTTTTAAAAAAATATTTAAGACAGCATTTCACTCAATTGCTGAGGCTGTAGCACAGGTCAACCTCAATTTTGTGGTCTTCCTGATCCAGCTTCCTAGGTAGCTGCACTACCAGGTCTAGCTTTTTAAAGAAAAACAAAACAAAACAAAGCAAAACAACCTTTTGAGCAGTAAGTGGGATGAGGTGGCGTGTACCTTTGATCCCAGCACTAGGAGAGGCAGAGGCAGGCAGACCTCTGCGAGTTCAAGGTTACTGTAGTTACTTAGGGAATCCCAGGTTAGCAAGGGTCACCCAGTAAGGCCTCATCTGAAAAATAAATAAGTAAATAATAAGAGATAAATATAGGAAGCTGTCAGGAATGGCCAGCGGAGCATTATTGTGACAGCACTGTCTTAGTACAGCTGTGGGGCTACAGAATTGTAGTTTCCAGAAATGGGGTTTTACTAAGTAATGTAGGTTTGCCTACAATTCACAATCCTCCTGCCTCAGAAGTTTTGAGTGTGGGTGTTAGAGACATGTGCCCCTTAGCCTGGAAATGGGGTATTCCAGGCTTTCTGATATTAGACATCTGTTGGGAGGGGCAGTGCTTGGAAGTTAGGGCCTTCCTCCTGCGGGATCCTGGGGCCACCCTTTTCAGTTTTGCC